GTTTGTTGTGGGGGGTCATCTCATATGAATTCACAGAGTTAGACCACCTCTAATCGACTTATAGGCTTTTATTAAGGATTGACGCCCCTCAGAAGTGGGCTGGGTTCCAAGAGGAACCAGCAACTTAGTAAGACAACATGGGCAAATTTACAGTATAATGATGCTGATTACACAACAGAAATTATGAATATTAAAAAGGCAGGAGGGATTTGTTAAGGGATTAGGGAATGGGGAAGGGGTCCCTTGTAGGGTTCAGTGGTCAAACATCCTTTTGTGCTGCTTTCTGATTGGCTAGCTATTCTGGTTCTGTCTGGTCAAGATGGAGAGTTAGGTATTGTGGTACTGTCTTGGGCTAAATGGATGATGTGATTGTGATTGAGTACAAGGACACACCTGTTCAAATATATGAATTACATCTTGGGACAGTGGTTAGCTAGGGGCAGTGACCGTATTGAGTTTGAGGGCCTATGGTGTGGTTAAAGCCAGATTGTGTGGTCAAATCAGGGCATGCCTGCTGTTCAGTGGGGCCCATAAGGAAGTTAGAATATTGAGGCTTAGGGGCAGCTTTATTAGGATTCCATCACTGTCAGCTGTCAGCCTGGAAGAATATATTTTATAAATACAAGTTAATTCAGTTACTCTCCACAAGTTTGTGTTCAAAATTTGGAATTATGCATTTCCCCTAAAAAACCAATGTTATCCATCGTGGTTAGGATCCCAGGCCAGCCTACAGAAGCCTATTTTAACCTATAAAGGGCTTCCCTATATGTGCTAGATATAGAATCAATAATGCCTGGATTCAAACACTGCTCTTGATATGAACATTGTGACCCTGGACAAATGATTTATTTAATGTCTATGAGACTCAGGCAACTCTCTGAGCCTTAATTTCTAAATTATAGTTGGGGATGTAATGATAGATGTGTTGAAGAGTTTCCACACCAATGAAATCACAGATCCTTTGAAGTGATCCTTATTCCTGAGAGGAAAAATGTTGGGGTAGAAAGAAAGAGGCCAAGACTTTGGAGTCAGGAGAGGTCTGGATTCAAATCCTGCCTCCAACATTTACTAGCTGTGTGAAATTGAGTAGGTCATTTCATTCTCTGAAGTTTCTTTATCTGTAAAATGAAGATAATACCTCCATTTCTCAGAGTTGTTGTTCAGGTAAGATGATATAATGCATGCAAAAAACTTTGTAAACCACATGTATGTGTGTGTATAGATACATATGCATACACTTATATACACATATATGTGTGTATGACTTACTATTATTAGCACTGGACTTGGAGTCTGAAGACATTTATTAGTCATAATGTGACTCCAGGCAAGTCACTTAACTTCTCTGAGACTCAGTTTCGTCATTGTAATAAGGGTTAATAATGCTTGCCCTCCTTATCTCACAAGAGTATTGTGACGAATGCTTGGTAAACTGTAAAGTTATGTAAAGGTGAGTAGTTAGACTGTAGCTAAATAGTACTGTAGTAACCCTACTATAGAATCTAATCTAACTAGAACAGAGATTTAAAGTTAGAAAGGGCTTCTAATCCAACCTTTTCATTTTACAATTTATAGATGAGCAAACTGAACTGATGACTCAGTGACTTGTCCAAGGTCAGTCATCATGGATAGTAAGGTGGCTTTGGGAAAGTTTGTTCAGAGTTCCTAACCACTTATGCAACAGTGGGAATGGAGACTCTCCTAGCTCCTAACAACTGGTGGGGAGGTTTTCTAGGATATGATGGGGAGGGGGAGGGAAGGGAGTTAACTGGAGGTAGTAAGTCAGGGAGGAGGATTTAGGCAGGAGGATTATAATATAGAATCATCTAAGGTCAGAACTGGAATATACCTTAGAAATAATCTAGTCCAATCTCATTTTGCAAAATAAGGAAACTGGTGGAGAGAGGTAAGGAGACATGCCTTGAGTCACACAAGTGCCTGACAGACCAAGAATTGAAACCACTAAATTATAGACCTCTGGAATCATAGATTTAGGGCCACAAGAGATAATTTTCAAGAGTTTCTAACTTTTTCTGTGTCATAGCTGCCATTGGAATTGTGGTGAAATCTATGGACTCCTCAGAATAATGTTTTTAAATGCTATAATACATAAGATTACAAAGAAAACCATTTATGTAAAAATACAACTATCAAAATATTTTTTTAAAAGTTCACATGATTTAGACTAAGGATACTTGATAGATCAGCTCTCTTATTTTATAAGTGAGGATGTTGAAGTTCAGAGGCTTATTCTAAAACTTCCCTTAACACCTGGGGCCTCCTTGTCTAGGAACAACCTACCATGCTTGCAGCCTGCTCACCTGGAATATTCTTCCACAAGGTCCATTCCCCTTCTCCCATTGGTGAATTCCTTCTAGAACTTTATTTTGTGGAATGACTCAAGTCAACCTGTCTTCATTCTCCTCCTGCTCCTGTTCCTGACTTTCTAGATTTCAAAACTGTGCCTCAAAATGGGTTACTTTTCTCCTTTCCTCTTTTAACTCCCTTCTATTAGAAAGTAAGCTCTTTGAGGGCAGGGACTTTATTTTTGCTTATATTTTGCCTATATGCTTATCACAGTGCCCAGCATGTACTGAGTACTTAATAGAGGTTTGTTTCCTTCCTTTCAGAGAAGAGAAATGTTTTGGCCAAAGGCAGGAAGGACAGAGGAACCCAGATATTCTGACTTCAAAATTGACCATATTGGTCCTGTTGACCATCCTCTTTACCCTTAGTCCCAGCCTGCTGTTCAATCATCCTTTCTCTTTTTTTCCTAAGGATTCTAGGGTTTGTTCTGCCTATTTCCTTTTTCACTGACATTCCTGCCTTATCACACTCACCATTCACTCTCTCTCCCCTATCACAACTGCTCGTTTCTTTTTATCTTGACACCCTTTGGAACAAGCACAATTTCTCATTCTGCTCTCCCCTCCTGTCCAGTCCCTGAAACAATGTTGTATCCTTTGGAATGTCTCTTGGTTTTTTTTTTTTTGTTTGTTTGCTTGTTTTTTACTGGCAGCCTGTTCTCTTCATCAAGGATGCCTTTGATATGTGCACAGATAATTTTAAGAAAAATTCTATGAGAACTGAAGTTTGAGAATCACTGAGAATCACCCAACGAACAATGGAGAGGTGTTGAGTGGGCCTGAGTGAATTGCCACACATTATAAATAAGGAATTATGCAGAGGAAATGGTGTGAAGGAAGTTGTTAAAGACACATATGACCAAAAAAAAAAAAAAAAAGCAGATGGGAGTGAGAAAGACAGCTGCTAGATAGTCCCTGGGATGTGAAGGGAACTGAAGGAAACTGCTAGCATAGTGGGTTGACCTCCTGTGGTGTCCTTATGGAAGGATATGACGGAGTCACACAGGATGAGCCGGCTGGGATGGGTTTAGAATATACATTTGTTAAGAGTAGGGATTGCTTCATTCTTTGTATTTCTATCTCCAGGTGTCTGGCATATAGTTGGTGCTTAATATCTGCTTAATGATTGTTTGATTGGAATTTACATCATTGGAGGGAATTTCCACAGCAATGAGACCCCAGATTTACTGAAGTATTGGAGTATAACTATGTAAGGGAAGGGGCCTCCCCCTCCAACCTCAGTTGATGTAGGTATAAGTGATGAGGGTTAACATGTAAACTCCCTGATCCTTTTATGAAGTTTGAATTAAACAACTGAGTGAAATAAAAAGGAAGTAATAGGAAGGATGACCTTTAAAAGCCAGCTCATTGAGTCTAAGAAAGAGACTCAAAGAGAAACTCCCAGGGGTCCTGTGCTCATCTGCATAAATTCCACGGTGGTTAATGAAGGTGGCAATGACATAAGTGGTCTGGCTTAAACCTCTCATCTACCTGTCTACATGTTTCCCCCTAGAGAATTAGAACTTCTTGGAGCCAAGATGGTGGAGTAAAGGCAGGAACTCCTTTGAGCTATCCCCCCAAACCCCTCCAAATACCTTTAAATAATGACTTTAAACAAATTCTAGAGCGGTAGAATGCAAACTTCTTGAAGGCAGGGACTGTTTCGCATATCCATATCCTCAGAGATTAGCACAGTCCCTGACATATAGGAGGTGTTTAATAAATGCTTATTACCTGATTGTTCTGTTCCCTCACCTTGATTATGAACTCCTTGAAAACCTAGAATTGAACAACTCTCACTGGCAGGGGATGGTTCAGGCATCAGCTTTTGGAAACACGAATTTCTTCCCAGAGATGCTGAGCAATATAGGGCCCGTGAAGGTTCATAAAATGCAGAGGAATGGCACAGGGAGAGAGAGTGCTCCCTTCACCCCCATCCCAGACCCAAGTCAAGGCTGAAACCCACTGAGGGTACAATTAGTCTGGTACTTACCCCACTCTCATCCCAGTTGCTTTGTCCCAGGTGCTGCAATTCCTAGTTACATCTCTCTTCCAATGACCTTTTCCCTTCTTTTAACTTATCTAGATCATACCCATTCTGAGGCAGTTAGGTGGTATAGGGGATGGAATTGTGGACCTGGAATCAGGAAGACCTGCATTCAAGTCCAGCCTCAGACATTTACGAGCTGTTGTCACCTTGGGCAAGTCATTAACTTCAATCTGCTTGAGTTTTCTTATCTGTAAAATGGGAATAATAATAAAATAATCCTACTTCCCAAGGTTTCTGTGAGGATCAAATAAGATAACATTTGTAAAGCATGTTGCAAACATTAAAGTATCATATGAATGCTAGTTGTTGTAATTATTCTTCTTCAAGGCTCAAGGGTTCAGGTCTCACTTCCACCAGTTAAGTCTGCCTTGTCAAGCCCAGCATAGCCTGCCCTAGGGATTATCCTCTCTGAACTCCAATCCTTCTGTGTCTTGGTGTCTGACATCATCACTTCCCTGGTATTAACCCTCCAAGTATAAAGAGGTTATATCAACACCTGTTTTCCCCAAAGTGCCTGGTACAGGGCTGGGCTTACAGGATGTGCTCACCTTGGGACTAATTTGGATCTGGTCTCTTACCTACAGATTCTGAACATGGAAGATGACCAGAACTGGTATAAGGCGGAGCTGCACGGTGCCGAAGGTTTCATCCCAAAGAATTACATCCAAGTCAAGCCCCATCCGTAAGTTCATCCCCGGCTTCTCTGCCCCCTAGCTCAAGCCCCCTACAGGGGCTAGCAGTAATATGCTCCACTGCTTAAAGCCTCTACTTTTATAGGGCTCATAATTTAGCGGACTGGACAAAGGGGACTCACGCCCCCAACCAAGCAGAGGATGATGTGCCTTCTTATCTAGTGCTTGATTTGTTCTAATCAACCTCAAATTATAGAACAGTGGACCAAGGGCTGGAAAATCTGGGTTCTAATCCTGGGCTCTGCCTCTAACTCATTGGGGGAACTTAGGCAAGTGATTTCCCTTCTCTGGGGTGTCAATTTCTTCATGTCAGCTTAGATAATCTCTAAAGTCCCTTGCAGCTTACCTTTCTATTGCTTGAATCAACAAATGTCTACTGAGGCAACCTGTCATAATGGATAGTGCTGGGCTTGGAGTCAGAAGATGTTGGTTCAAATTCTGTCTCCTATACTTCCTAGTTATGTGGCTGCTGGCAAACCACAACCCTTTGAGGTAGGTACTGTAGATATTATCATCCTTTTACAGATGACCAAACTGAGGCTCAGAGAGGTTTGGTCACACAATTAGTGTTAGAGAAGGGATTCAAACCTAGATATCTGCTGATGCTAGGTACCCTTTCGACTAGACTGCACTTCCTTTCCTTAGTCATGGCAACTGCCTTATGGGGAAAATGAAGGAATGGGTTATTTCCACAGGGAAAAAAAAACTCCAAGAATCTCCCAAGTATGCCCTCCACCCCTACTGTGAACACCAGAGAGAAGCTGTTATCTGCTCATTGCAAAAGGGAGATTCACTTTCTATCATTTCGTCTGCTTATTTTAAGCTACCACCTCCAGCTTCCTGTGCCTGATAGGTACTTTCAACACAAATCTCCAGACCCTTTTATCATTGCCTTCCTTCCCTTGCCTTCTTGTGATCACTGTCTCAGGAGCCAGCCTCTTATCTGTCCACAGGCTTGAGATAATTTTCCCCTGTGCCTCTTGTCTCAGACTGAGAACTCCTCTAAGGGTCTGATAACC